AGTTTTGTATATATTTTGTTTCTGTAATGTTTGTTCAATTGTTTGTTTAAGACACTTTCTTTAGGTTTGCGCTTTGAAGAAAAGCATCGGCACGTCAGTGAGGAAGTTACTAGACAAACACAATAAAGGTGTCGAGCTAATGATGTGAAACAAGCGCTTGTTGGGAGGCAACCCAACAGTTTTTGAGTTTCTATAGCTTTGTGTGTAGTTAGTTTAATTTGATTTTGTTAGGTTGTTAGAAAATGTTTGTGTTTTTTCTTAAGCTTTGTTTTTTATTAACTTGGGGAGACATGTTGTGATTGTTTAAGTTTGAATGTTCAATAACGAAATGTCATGGTAATGTGAAAAGTTTAAAGGAAATTGCATTATAAAGGTATGTGTTTATTGCTTTCTACAACATATCATGTTTATGAACCTTAGGCTTTGTAAAACTTACATGACATTTATTCTTTTGTAATTTTTGTTCAATTTTGAAGCACTTTAGGTCATAACCAATGTGAGGAACCTTTCCATTGTTTACTAAATTGCATAGAGACCAACTTTCTTATTTAACTTGTTTGAATTGTGTTTAATCTTGTATTTGTGTTGATTTGTACGATATCATGAAAAGGATCAAGGTATTTTGTTTGATTTTGAGCATGACCACTTGACCAAATAGTCAATCTACCTTGTGAGTAAGTGATAATTTGCTTACATCCTCAGAGGCTTTGTTAGAATCTATGTTGGTGTTAAGTTCAATTTTTATATGGATTCTAATATTTTTCTTGAACCATAACCATGAATTATGGTTTGAATTTTAACCCCTGCCTTAAAAAGTTTGGGAGCATTCACATTATAATGTTGGTTGTATTCAAGTTGGGGAGAAAAGGTCGATTGTTATACGGTTGAGAAAGAAAAAGATTGAAAAAGAAAGAAAAAAGTGAAAAAGAAAAGAAAGAGAAAAATCATTGAAAAACAAGAAAAATAATAACAAATAAATTATGCTAATAAGTTATGTAAAATGGTGTAACAATTGAGAAAATAGAAAAAGGTGAAAGAAATTTGTGAATGCTTGAAATTTGTGAATGCTTGAGATTGTGAAAAATGGTGTAACAATTGAGAAAATAACAAGTTTTTGTTTCATTAACCTTTAGAAATTGACCCTTCATTGTTAGACAAACCACATTACAACCTTTGAAAGCCCTTGTGATTCTTACTTTTATACTTTCAATATAAGATTTTTGTAGATGAATGCATAATTTGAATTGATGTTTGCAATATTGTTGGGTGTGACTTCAACCCCTTATGTTTGTTTTTCATCCCTTGATGAAGTTGTGTGCTAGGTGTGATCCATTCTTGAACATATGTATTGCTTTAGAATGTTTAACATGTGTTTTGTACTTAACCTTTGTTTCATATTCCTTGTGTCATTGTAGTATATTGGTAAGCGTTGCTTTGCGTGTACTTTTGATATATGTACAATACATTTATTTCTGTTTGTAAAACTTGTTGAGCATGATTTCTCGGCAATTGCTTTTGTTCTTTAGGTTAATTGATTCTTGTTTTAGGACAAAAAAGTCTAAGTTGAGGAGAGTTTGATGAGTGATAAATTGTTGTGACTTTTAGTGTGAACAATTAACACTCGTCAGCTTAGTTCATTCGTTTTATACCAATAAACCTCAAATTTAATGTACATTTGGTATATTTTATGTTATAATGTATATATTGCGTTATCGTGTAAATATCATTGAGTTTGATTGTTTTTATTTCATTTTTGTAGGTATTCAAGCAAAGATATTTACTCATTGTCTTGTTGAGCATTGAATAAGATTTACAACGCTTCCAACCGTGCGTAAAACACAGTTGCAGTTCTCAAGTTATGGTCGAAGCAATAATTGATTCATCTCAAAGTCTGTCATGGTCGTTGTGCGGGCGGAAATCAAGCTCACTTTGTGGTTGCTGTGCAAGCGGAAAGTGAGCTCGCTTTGTGTTTGCTGTGCAAGCTGAAAGTGATCTAGAAGCGTGTAAAAGCATTATTGAGATAAACTAAGCTTGATATGGTCGATGTGCAACCTGGAGCTCACACAACAACGACGCGAAGTCATTTTTGCCTATAAAGTCACTTTTTCAGCATTTTTTAGGTTATGTTTTTGGGGATTTTTACTCCCAAGTTCATCACAAACATTTTTTTGATTAGAGAAGCTCATAAATAACTTTAGAGTGTATATTTTAATAATCCGAAGTTGGATTTACTTCAATCGGCGTTGACAAACTGAGAGATTCTTGTTCATCATTTTTCTTCTCTTTGTACCCTCTATTTTTGGGGTGTATATAAGTTTATATTGATTGTATGTATATTTATTGATCATTGTATAAGATCTCTTTTATAAATATTTATCGATGATTATCTTTGATTTCAATATTTATCTTAATGGGTTTGGATTGCTATAGACATATACAATTCGAACTCAATCTAAGATGAACATCTGTTAGATTTAAACTCTAGACGTAGATTTAGGTCTAATATTTGTGTGGGTATCGGTTCTTAATGCTCTGTGTTGTTAAGTTGCACGAGACATCACCAATGAGACGATACAATTATTCTCTCAACTTTACATTAGACATAACCTCTATTGTGAGTGACACATGATGATATTGACGAGTGATTTAGGTTGCGTACAATTGATTGATAGATTTTTTAGTATTTGATGGGTAAATGAAATACAATTCACGACGAGTTCTTTCCTTACTTAAAGAATGCATTCTTTACTTGTTCATATGTTTTACTTTTTGCACTTTACTCTTTCAAACCATTCAAACCAAGCTTAGAGATGTAGAGATTGTTGAACGATATTCTTTCCCTTGCACCGATCTCTGTAGACACGATAAAACCTAGAGGGAATTCTTTCAAATCTTTTGCTTCTTGCTGTTATGTTGCAGTTTGAACACTGGGGCAATCCAAGCAAATACTCAACAGACCAAGGCAAAGATAGGCTACAAAGGTACAAATTATCTCACTGTTTCAAATCAAGCGCAAAGGTGTGTCAGCAACTGTTGAGCCTGGAGCAGGTGTCGGGGAGTCATGTCTTTATAACCCTTATCTTAGGCTTAAACCTTCCATCTGTCGCAACATAAGCACCTGTTGAATCTTCCAAACCATTGCCTAGATCATTCTCATGCATTAATTATGTCGCTTCACTCATGCATATCGTTCATATACCATAGCATGAAGCCTTGTAAAACAAGAAAATCCGACTTGCCATCTTACCAAAGCCTAATCATACTTGGCATCTCTCAAAACCCAAATTCCATTAGCACTAGTAAAGGCCAATCACACTTGGCACCTCCCTAAAGCACAACCTGTTTGGCACCCCATAAAGCCCAACAACTGGCATTTTGCACCGCATAACATTGTATCCTTAAACACATAGCATATCCATCGAGATGGGACATTACACCATACAAATCCAAACACGCATCCTTAGCATAAGCCAGATCCAAACCTTCCTCAAAGCATATACAAATCCTCGGGTTGGTAAACTCTTTTCTTTCCAAGTATGTCTTGTTAGTCCCGTGCTTAGACAAACATTATCTTGTTTGCCTTGTTAGTCTCATTCTTGGGCAAATCCTTTTTCTTTTCAAGTGTGTCTTGTTAGTCTCATGCTTAGACCTATGTTCTCTCTCTTGCCATGTTAGTCTCATGCTTTGGCAAACTATTTTTCTCTCATATTTGTCATGTTAGTCTCATGCTTTGGCAAATTTTTTTCTCTTTCATGCTTGTCATGTTAGTCTCATGTTTTGGCAAGTCTATTTCCTTTCATGTTTGTCGTGTTAGTCTCATATTTTGGCAAACTCTTTTCTCTCTCCCGGTTGCCATGTTAGTCCCATGCTTTGGCCAACCCTCTCTTCCTTTCACGTCTATCTTGTCAGTCTCATGCTTAGATAGACATTTCCTCAATTCACTACACTTTTTCAATTCAAGCTCGTTGTTATTCAATCAACTATTTCTTTCCTTCTCTTGGTTATGACACCACCTCTTTTGTTCAATCCTTAATTCCATGAACTACAGAGCTCTTATTTCCTCATTGCACTATGAGGATACGTAGACACAAGATTGCGAGATCTTGGCGAGCAACATTCTTTCATTTTCATCTGTAGTTCTCTAAACTACAGAACTCTGATTTCCCCATTGCACTATGAGGATATGTAGGCACGAGGGCCCCAATCCTCCGCGAACACCCTAATTATAAACCTTTTCCCCTTTAGCCAGTAACCTTTAGATAATAACACTCATCCAATCATATAACAAGCAAAATGGTTCCCGTCAAGTACGACGGGTGCAATGGATGCTAATATTTTCCCCTCACATAACCGACTTCCTTACTCGTTTCTCTATCCCTTAGGTTTTATCAATATTTTCCTTTTTCGTTTGAAATAAATAAAATCTATTAGTGATTATGTTTTATCATCAAGTGCGCGATGCGCTCAAATATATTCCTAGCTTCAAGATAAAATACATACTAATATAACTATTGATTTCATTATAAAAAAACTAGATATTCCTAATTTTAAAATTTTTTTAGCATCTATTCCCCTTATTTTTTACTTATTTTTTTCTTATATTGGTCTTCGACCCACCTTTTAATTTTTAAAAAAAAAAAACTTGGAAGAATTTTTTTTAAGAGGACGAGCCTGCCTTCTATAAAATGAATACATGGAAAATAAAATGAGAATGTGAAATTACAAATGTAACATTCTTTCAATCTGCTATTCGGCCTGCCACGTAAATGTGGGAAGGGTAAAAAAGTCAATATAGCAATTGTAAAGCGACCAAGACACTAACCTTTGTACACGTGTAACTAAACGAATGGTTGAGATTAAATAACTTTCATAATCCAAGGGCTAATACCCTTACAGAATAAACACCTTTATATTCAAACCTTTCACAAAAATCGCTTCACTCAACCAGCGCCTCATCTTCCACTCTTTCTAGGTTTACGCATCAAACCGGCGGCGCAAAAATGGTGATCCAATCTCTCCGTTCACTCTTCTTCTCCGTTTTAATCCATCGCTGTTTCCGATTCTCGCTCAACATTTCTGATTCTGATTGTTATTTTTCTTTCTGATTTTTTTCAGGTTCTTCAAAACGATATCGATCTGTTGAATCCACCTGCTGAACTCGAGAAGAGGAAGCATAAACTTAAACGACTTGTTCAATCTCCTAATTCATTCTTCATGGTGAATTTTTTTCACTAATCTTTTTCGATTAGGTTATGTTAGTTTTTTATTTATTTAATTTGTAATCTGATTTTTGTTTCTACTGTGTTTGTGTTTACAGGATGTCAAATGTCAAGGTTGCTTCAATATGTAAGTTCCTATTATAAACCTTTTTCAGAATTAGAAAATAGTGATTTTGATTATGATTATATATAACTTTTAGGTCTAACAAAGAGCTTGTAGTTTTTTTACTTATAGGGACTGAAAAATCAGCACAGGGTCTTATTATTTTGTAGTAAATTTAGTATTCCCCTTTAAAACCGACATTTTAACTTAGTGCCTAAACAACTTAAAGCACCTGAAATTTAGTTAAATCAATTTTTACCTGCTATATCTTATTCTCATTAGTTATCTTGGAAAACTTGAAAAGATATGCTTAAAAAGTTCATGAAAAGTGTTATAAGCTCTATTAAAAGTTCTTGTAAAAATGTCACAATTTATATCAGTAGATAACAAGCTCAAATAAACCAATTCAACTAGGTCCTTAGTCCTTGTATCCATTGTACCGTCTCTCTTTTAGAAACAAATGAAGTAAGGCTTGTAGTTGTGTTATTGTTAGGGACTGTAAAAACAGGCATAGCAATGGGGTAGTATTTTCTTCTTCAAAGCTTATCCGTGATCTATTCTTTAAGAATTGAACATTTGTTAAAGTTATCTTTTATTGAAAGCTGAACATGGTTGAATTTTTGGATGCAGAACAACTGTATTCAGTCACTCCCAAACTGTTGTTGTATGTGGTAATTGTCAGACAGTGTTGTGCCAACCAACCGGTGGCAAAGCAAGACTAACAGAGGGATGCTCATTCAGAAAGAAGGGAGATTAGCAATGGAATTATTGTCTTTTTTTTAGAATTGATTTCCGAAGAAATTTTGAGTTATTGAGTTTTTAATAGAATGTATTTGAATTGTTGAATGGAAATTGTTGTCTTTATGCGTCTTGTGTTCTCTTAAGTTGAAAAGATTTTTGAGGGAATGATCCTTTGGTGTTGTTGATTGACATTATCTCATAATGTCTATTTTGGACCCAGTAATTTATTTGATATGTTATACTGTGCGTTAGTTTGATACCATTTATCACAATTTTTTAATTTTTATATGTTTGTGTACTACTAATCTTGGCTGTTAAAACGACATAGTCTATGATTTTGAAGAGTTTCCAAGTTGAATAGAATTAAATATGTTATTATGGTATAATGTGTGAGGATATGAAGATGCAAGCCTGATGATATAACAATAGAATTCTTAAGTCTGTTAATGATATATTAATATTCTATATTTTGAAATAAGGGTTTTTTGAATTATTGGTTATCAACATGCATTGATCTCTAACAATGTTCAGAGCATGATTTACAACTCTGGTCTTCGAGTTGAACTAGAAATAGAAAACTTTGTTAGTTTTAAATAACCGACAACTTTGATTAGACATGCTCTTCTTTGTTGTTAAACATGTCGGTCCAATATAGTCTTATAGTTATAAAAAAATCAATATAATTTATTGATTATTACCTCTGTCTACACAAACCAATACATCCAGTTTTTCTGAACCACGTTTTGGTATAGATTTTGCCATTCTTTTTTATTTAAAAAAAAAAGATAAGTCCGTTTGGTTTTTTTTTCAACTGTACAATTAATTCGAACCATATGATTATTTAGTTATTTTTGGATTTTAATGTTCTAGAAATTTTCTAATTTCTATTGTTTTAGAATTAATTCGATACTAAACTTAAAAAAATAAGTAGGTACAAAATATTAAATAAAGTAGAAATAGATAAAGGAAAAACAGGATAATTCAAATTGAATTGTACAACAATTCATTAGATATTTTTTTTACGTTTTCCATTAACGATAGGTGTTAAGTGGAAGTGCATTAATGTATGCAACTGAGTCATCCTAGCAGACCGATAGACTTGAACCTTGTGTTGGAAATAATAATTTATTTCCATTAAAGTTGTTCCAAAATGACAAAGTGGGTGTTATAATAAATGCTTAGTCCCACATTGGAAGAGGAGTAAAATTAAATAGCATTTATAAGGCACTTGGAACAATGTAATTTCCAAAAGAGCCAAAAAGGATAAAGTGCCACATAGTCACATGTGGTGGTGCCAAAACTTATGTCACTTGTCTCATACAAAACACCCCTCGCCGGTGTCGCCACCGGCGACACCGGCTCCGGATCCGGGGGCGTGGGCGTAGAGGCGCTAGTGGCGGCTTGTAGACGGCACTTGAGCACTTGGGCGCGGCGTTAATGAGGCGACCTTCGGCCGGTATACTGCGAATTTAATTTTTAATTATCGCTCAGACTTATTTGTTGCCTAGAGTTTGATTTTGAATTTGAATTTGAAATACATGACACTTGACGAAGTGGTGCATGATATTTTATGTGAACCATTGCAAATGCTCATTAGAGAGTGTGTTTATGAAGAATTGCAAACTTCTGAAAAGACACATGCATGGCTATAAATATATGCTTCATAATTCGAAATCATTCACTCCAAATTCTGAAATCCTCTTCCATATAATTCCAACATTTTCCTTGCATTCGAAACTTCATCAGTCTTGTGCAGTTTCGAGAAAAAGGCTGACTTATCCTGGGTATTCAGGCCGTTCCAACTCTAAGACAATCTGAGAGTGTGCTTGAAATACTTTTAAGGAAAGTGATTTCGTTCACGATTCAGTCTGGATCCATTCGACATAGAAGGATTATCTAACAATCTTAAAAGTATTTGTATCATGGATTCCGACGCTGCTGTTTCAAGTATCAAAGTTATGAATCAGGACCTTGTCAAATTGGATCGCTTCGATGGAAACAACTTTACCAGATGGCAAGACAAGATGACGTTCCTGCTTACTGCACTCAAGGTTCACTACGTCTTGGATCCCAATCTGACACCAATTCCAGAACCAACTGCAGATGATTCTGACGAACTCAAGAAGAAGCGCATGCTGCGAAGGGAGGACGAATTACTATGCCGTGGGCATATTCTGAATACGCTATCTGACCGCCTATACGACTTATACACAGACAATCCGTCCGCTAGAGACATATGGAATTCCCTGGAGTTTAAATTCAAAGCCGAAGAAGAAGGTACGAAAAAGTTCTTAATTTCTAAATACTTTGATTTTAAATTTATAGATTCCAAGCCCATACTTCCTCAAGTGCATTAATTGCAAGTCCTGGTGAACAAAATCAAAGCGGTGAAAATAGACATTCCTGAAACCTTTCAAGTTGGTGCAATCATTGCGAAGTTACCAAGTTCGTGGAAAGGCTATAAAAAGAAACTGTTGCACAGTTCTGATGACTTTTCCTTGGAGAAAATCCAGAAGCATCTTCGAATCGAGGAGGAATCGAAGGAGAGGGAAAAATCAGAATCTGCGGGTCTTTCCAAAGCCAATGCTGTGACCAGAAAGGAAAAGAAAAAACATGATGTCAAGAAAAGTCACATCGCACCAAAAAAGGAACATACCAAGTTCAAGAACTTCGGTGGTCCGAAGGGTCCGAAAAATGGATGCTTTGTATGTGGAAAACCTGGACATTATGCTCGAGATTGCAGGCATAATAAATCAAAAAAGGAGATCAATGCAGTGAATGCTAATGATGATATAATTGCTACTGTGAGCGAAATTATGGCAATCAAAGGCAAAGTCCAAGGCTGGTGGTATGATACATGTGCCACGGTTCATGTCTCATATGACAGGGCTGCATTCAAAACATATTCTGAGGCAAATGATGGACAAGAAGTACAAATGGGAAATGAAGTGCGATCCAAAGTTGTTGGAACCGGAACGGTCGAACTCAACTTCACTTCTGGAAAGAAAGTTACTCTTGTTAATGTGCTTCATGTCCCAGACATGAATAGGAATCTTGTTAGTGGGGATTTATTGGGAAAACCGGGTATTAAATCTGTGTATGAATCGGGCAAACTTATCTTGACCCGTAATGGTGTGTTTGTTGGAAAAGGATATTCCGCTGAAGGAATGATCAAACTATGTATTACTGATAACATGATTAATGAAATTTCTAATTCTGCTTACATGCTTGATTCAGTTACTTTATGGCACAATAGATTAGCACATATTGGTATTAGTTCAATGAAGAGACTAATTAAACTTGGCTTGATATCATGTAATATCAAAGATTTCAATAAATGTGAATTATGTGTTAAATCAAAAATGATTAAGAAACCTTTCAAAAGTGTTGAAAGAAATACAAATCTGCTTGATCTTGTACATTCAGATTTGTGCGAATTTAATGGCATGTTGACCCGTGGGGGAAATAGATATTTCATTACATTTATTGATGATTGTTCTAGATACACTTATGTATATATCTTAAAGCATAAAGATGAGGCTTTTAATGCCTTTAAGAGTTACAAAGCAGAAGTGGAAAATCAATTAAGTAGAAGTATAAAAGTCCTTAGGAGTGATAGGGGCGGTGAATACTTCTCCACTGAATTTGATGCATTTTGTGAAGAACATGGTATAATACATGAATGTTCGGCACCTAGAACACCACAACAAAATGGCATAGCAGAAAGAAAGAATCGAACATATCAAGAAATGATGAATGCCATGTTATTGCATTCCGAACTACCTTTCAATTTGTGGGGCGAAGCTTTATTATCCGCTTGTCACATAATAAATAGAATTCCCTTAAAGAAAAGTGGAATTTCTCCATATGAGGTATGGAAGGGCATGACACCAAATATTGGCTACTTTAAGGTGTGGGGGTGTGTGGCATATTACAAAAACATGGATCCTAAGAGAACCAAGTTGGGTCCTCGAGGGATAAGATGTGCATTTGTAGGATATGCACAAAATAGCAAAGCATATAGACTGTTAAATTTAGAGTCTAATATTATTGTTGAATCCCGGGATGTAGAATTCTTTGAAAACCTTATAACTAAGGATAAAGAATCAGAGTCGGCCATAAACAAAGAATCTTGTGAAAAGGACTCTTCTCGGATTGTAGAAATACAACCTGAAGACACATCTCGAATAAATGAACCACGACCCGAACCTAGGATAAGCAAAAGAGTCCGGAAAATAAAGAACCTAGGACCAGACGAAATTGATTCTCAATCCATTTCATTTTATCTGGTTGAAGGAAATAGTACAAATTTTATTAAAAGCATTCCGGTAATTCTTCAAGTAGGGGAAGATCCTAAAACTTATAAGGAAGCAATAGCTTCAAGAGACTCCTCCTTTTGGAAAAATGCTATCCGAGATGAAATGGATTCAATTATGTCCAACCACACTTGGGAACTTGTTGATTTACCAAAGGGATCAAGACCCATTGGATGCAAGTGGGTGTTTAAAAAGAAATATCATAGTGATGGTACATTAAACACTTATAAAGCAAGATTAGTGGCAAAAAGGATTTAGACAAAAGGAAGCATTCCTAAACGGAGACCTCGATGAGGAAATCTACATGGAACAACCAGAAGGACACGTCCTTCCTGGAAATGAACAGAAGGTGTGCAAACTTGTCAAATCTCTATATGGCTTAAAACAAGCACCAAAACAATGGCATCAAAAGTTTGACTCTACGATAATGTCAAATGGATTTATTCCTAATTCTTGTGACAAGTGTTTATATACAAAAGTGTATAATAACACTGTAATATTTTTGTGTCTTTATGTTGATGACATGCTAATAATTAGCAATAGACTTAATGGAATTCTAGAAACAAAAAGGTTTCTAACTTCCACTTTCAAGATGAAAGATCTTGGGCTTGTTGACACAATTTTAGGAATAAAAGTTAAGCAAAATAGTGGGGGTTATGAACTTAATCAAACACATTATATTGAGAAAATGCTTGATAAG